AGCGCCTGAAAACTGGTCCAATGTTCATTTTCTCCATACACTTGTCCAAAAATAGCCAGTCCACATGGTCATACGCTTTTTCAAAGTCAATGAAGACTATGGACGCATTTCGTTTGTCTTGCCTTGTGAGTTTAAGAAGCTCATTGACTAACAGGATGTTGTCTTGGATCCTGCGTCCTTTGACAAACCCTGTCTGCATTGGGTGAATAATGTCGTCCAAGACCGGTTCTGTACTTAGAGAGAAAGACCAAGTACAAACCCTCTTTTTGGTTTTGTTTATAATAATTATAAAACGTTGATGCGCACATGCAACTGTAAGTGTCTATCAAACTGCTAGCTTTGTACTTTGTGAGTCTGATTATCCTCCCTTCCGGTAACACATGCTTAAGCACCTTTCCATCCCAATTAAACTGGGGCTTTGCAACCTTGAGGTAGTACATACCTAACAACATGTCGAATGGCAAGTCATTGCTAACGAGGAACAAAATCGTGAGATTGAGTTCCCCACCTCCATAATAGAAGATGCAAACCATGTTTTTGACGTAGTCATTGACAACCATGTGCCCCTTGTTGGCCAGGGTAGATGCTACAGATCTACCCAAGTGTTGCACCCGGTCCCCTAGGCGCAGTCTCTCAATGCAGTCGCGACGTATGGAGTTCTGCGTGGAGCTAATGTCTACGAAGGCACCACACTTGCGGCCGCCTAGACCACGAAATGGTCCCCTCTAGGACCTCTAGACAGTGCCAACCAAGACTCACAAGAGTCCTTGCCGACCACTCGGTTTCTAAGTTTTGTAAGACTTTAGATACATCTAATGAACAAAGTGTCGTTTGGTCTAGACACATTTGCGGGGTGACTTACGAGTCAATAGCTTCGGCCAACTCCTGCAATGGTGAGGGTACTTCAACCACTTCAGCATGAGTAGCAGCAGCTACAACTTCCACTGGCCAGATGTGTTTCCCTAGGCGAAGGTCCCCCAAAACCACCTTTGAGAGAAATCTTCTGAAAAATCTTCGCGGTTCTACATTTAAACAGTTGATGGCCATATTCGCCACAGTTGATGCAAGCTCCTTGCGAGTACCGGTCCCTCCACACATCCTGATCCACGCCAGCCCTCACCCAAACCACTATCTTGTCTGAGTTTTAAGCCTGCCCCTGACTCTTTTGCTGACCGCCCTTGCCGTGGCCAGCTGCCTTTCCTTTGGGTATGGCGGCTAGGTCGCCACCCTTTGCACTTTCATCACCCCCTATCTTTGTTTCCTCCACAAGATCAAAGAGATCATCGATCTCGGTTGATTCCCTTCGAAATCAACCATCATCAACCGAGTACCCTTCCTCTTCCATTCTAGTGGAGTCTTCTTTTTCCTACCATCCGTTGCAGGATGATGTCCTCCTACCTTAGCCTCAAAGTCTAAGGCCTTCTTGCTGAAGGAGTCAAGCGTGTGATAATTGATGCTGACCTCTTGACCACTAATTTCTTGATGTCTGTGGGAAGACATCTCAGATAATTGGTCAGCAGAACCTGTGAATCATAGCGGACACCCAGGATGACTATCGAGTTTCTCTACGGCTTTGGTGCTTTTCCTTTTGGTCATTGCGTATTGCATCCCATTATTCTGAAAGGATTTCACGCTAAGAGTCCCGAGTCCCTAGCTTAGGGTCCCAATTGGTCCTGGTCCCAACATGCCCCAGTAGGTCATGTCCTACAGTCCGTAAGTCAAAGTGCCATAGGTCGGTAGAAGTCACGAACCGAAGCGTCACAGGCAGGTAGTTGTCTTCTGGTACCGGCAGAGGAAGTCAGGTCCCAAAGTCCAAATTTTGCAGCAGCGTCCCCAAAAAGTCCAGAGACTTCCAGAACACCGAAAATATGCAATACAGGCCAAGGGCGACCGGTACCGAAGCAGGCAAAATCAGTCGACTGCAGCTATAAATAGCTGCTACAGTACCAAGACAAACTGGTTGTTCATTCGCAAAGTGTGAAAGTGCTGCTGGCTGCTTGTGCAATCACGCGACCAGGACAGAGGAAAGCGCTGGGGAAGAAGCAAGCGCCCTGGCATGGAAGTAGTTGACCATACCTAGGGTAAGGGAGGAGAAAGAAGGGGGCCATAGACACAGAGGTTCGACGGGCTACATCAAAGCCGTATTCAGGGTTGATCCATCAAGGGAGAGGGATGGCACAAGAGTTCAGAGAGGCCTAAGTGGTTCAAGACTTGAGAGCAAGAGAACAGGCAGACAGTGTGTATGTGTGTGTGTGTGTGTGTCTGTGTGTGTGTGTCTGTGTGTGTGTGTGTGTGTGTGTGTGTGTGTGTGTGTGTGTGTGTGAGAGAGAGAGAGAGAGAGATCCTGACACGTTACAAATTGAGGGAGGGGGAGTTGGGGATCACGAACTCTCCAATTGTATAATATCATATTTCTGAGTGGAAATCCATCTGGTGCTGATTCATGTGTCATCACTCAGACATGGTGTGATCTCTCATGTGAATGTTCTCTTCGTGCATGTTGTGAGTTGAGTTGTATTCGAGAGGTTCGTCGCAGTTATAATCCTCGTCTTTTTTAATCCATTTTTGTCTTTGTCTTCTTTCTCGTTTCTGCTTCTTCTTGGCCATCTTTTTCTTCTTTGTAATGACCCGCCAAAAACACAGACTGAGAACACTGCTGATTTCTGGGATTTGCCAATGGAATGAATGCCTTGCTGTGATTCCCGCATTCTGCTGTGGTCCCAAGTCTGTGTGTATGCGTGCCTGCTGGTTTGCATGCCTGTCTGAGTGCTTGCCGGTTGTGTGTGTGTGCGTGCYTGCTGGKTTGCATGCCTGTCTGAGTGCTTGCTGGTTGGGTATGTGTGTGTGACCCGCAAGGGTACTTGTTGGTTGCAAGGCCCACCGGGCCGGTACTTACCTGTGGCCGTGACTTGGAAGGGTTGCAGGGGGGTAAACACGCTGGTAGCGGGGAGTAGGCCCACAACACTTAAGAGCAGCTGGGGAAAAACACTCAAGTAGCAGGTAGGCCGAGCAGAAGAAGATAAAAAGTTGGCATTTTTAGAGGCCCAGTAGCGGTAGGTTAGAGGTAGGCCGGTACCAGTCCAAGTAGCCCGGGTCTAGGGCCTGTGCGGACAATAACAGAGCCTGCAATGATGTTTCCCTCCAAAAAGGAGGAGGTACCGGTTGCTGGGAGGCCGCTTGGCCTAGGAAGTCACCGCCCAGGAGGCCGGTAGGCCGCTAAGACCGGAGAGCTCCTCCTCATTTGCGGTATGCAAGGATTGGCGACATGCTGCTGGAGCGCAGCGCTGGTCTGAAGCAGCGCTGCTTGGAGGTGAAGGTCTGCTGGGGCTCAGCCTGGCTATGGCGAGCACCCCAGCTTGAAGGAGGAAGAAGGGGGACATGGTAGAAGAGTGGTAGGGCACCTACCTGGCTATGGTGGACACCGTCTTCATCACCTTGTTGGGCRCTGCATCTGGAAGGCYSCAGTTGGGGTAGMGCTGCATCAAGGAAGCTCGAGGCAGAGTCAGGCATGGCGGAATAAGTCAGCAGCACCATAGCTGCTCTGGGTTGTCCTTTGCACATCAGCGCAGCACCTTAGCTGCTTGGGTAGTCCTTGGACATTGGCGCAGCACCATAGCTGCTCTGGGTTGTCCTTTGCACAGCAAGGCAACCCCTTGGGAGTCCGCCATGGTCTAGGCACGAAAGAGGAGGTTGAAGGGGGAAGCCATAGCTATGGTGGACTGTTGTTGTTGTTGTTGTTGTTGTTGTGTTGTGAGTTGAGTCAGCAGTAAGGGGGAACTTCGGACATTGATTCTGGTTCATCCATTCATTGTTATTATTATTGTTGAGAGAAGAATAAGATTGGTGAAGAG